CTGCCGGGCAGGGTGGCGCATGCCTGCCATCCCACACTCTGGAGCCTGAGGCGGGGGATCGCAAGTACAAACCCAGCCTGGACAACTTGGCAACTTGAACCCTGTCTCAAAGCAAAGCAAAACACCAAGCAGGCAGGGATGGAGCCCAGAGAGAAGACCCGGATTCAACCTGGGTTCAGTTCCCAGTGCCGCTAAATAAATAAATATACAAACAAATAAATTTATTTTTGAAAGGAGCAAAAGACCACGTAATCATCTCAACTGATGCAGAAAAAGCATTTGCAACATTCAGTGTCCCTTCATGAGAAAAAACATTCAACAAACTTGGAACAGAAAGAAACTATTTCAGCACAACAAACACCATGCCTGGCACCCAGAGAGGCCAGCGCTCGGCTCTGACCCTGGACCTGGACCTGGACCCGGACGGCTCTCCCCACACTGGGCACAGGTGAGGACACTGCTGTCACTGCCTCGCCTGGGCTTGGGGCTGGGTGCTCCCGCCAGGGCCGTGGAAAGGAAAGGAAGAAAAGACGGCCACGTGGGAAGGGAAGCAGTGAAACTGTCTGTCTGAGGAGAAAATGGTTTTATAGATCACCAGGTAGATTCCACACAACTAAGAATTCATCAGAACAGCAGGGTACAAAGTCAAGAAGCAAAATCAATTGCATTTCTGTACACTAACAATGAGCAATCTGAAAAAGCAGTTATGACAATAATTTCCTTCACAACAGCAACTAAGATTAAAACACTTAGGAACTTTTTAGGTTTCCGGCTCAGAAAAGAACCAAAGAAAGGAAAGAAGGCCTTTACTCCGGATAAGAAGAGGAGAAGGCGGCATGGGGTACCAGACTGCCCTGGCGCTGGACAAGGGAGCTGGAGTTTAAAAGACTCTGGCTAGGGGCGGAGCCTAAGGGGCGGGCTCAGTGACGTGCAGGAGCTGATTGGGGGTTACTTCGCCCGCGCGGGAAGGGCAGGAGGAAGTTGTACTCCGGGCTGAAGATGTGCTGTTGTTTTGGGCTTCAGCCACGTTAGACCACCACCGCCATAATAATTCCGCAACTCATACCCGGGCAGGAGCCTATCAGAACTAACCTCACCAAGGGGGACAGTTGTACAGTAACCTACAAAACACTGCTGAAAGAAATGCGACAAATGCTAAATGGAAACACATCCCATGTTTGTACAGGTAGACTGGAGGACTTATTAAAATGTCAGTTCTCAGCTGGGCGTGGTAGTGCACACCTGTAATGCCAGCACTCGGGAGGCTGAGGCAGGAGGATCTTTGTGAATTTGAGACCAGCCTGGGCTACAAAGTGAGCTTCACAAGGACCCTGGACTGAGAGAAGGCCCTCCTGATCAGATGCACAGCGTGGCTGCCCCTCCCCCGAGAAGGCAGAGCAAGAGCACAGCAGGGGGGCTGGACCCAGGACCTGAGGTGCGACGCAAGAGCTCAGGGGACCACACCTGGACACCTGTGTGCTTGCTCCCCGCAGGTCCTGAAAGGAACAGACGACAGGCACCCCTCACACCTCACACGGGCGGTGGCCTGACAGCTGTGCGCACCACACAGGTGAGGAATGCAGGCCAGACTGGGGTGCAAGGTGCCATGGGCCCACCGGGGGTGTCCAGCTCTTCCGGTCACTGTGCAGGGCTCACACGGGCCACGCCTGCCTCACACTGGGCTGGCCTTTTCCGCCTGGCCGCGTCAACGACTCCTGCCCGGTAGACCCAGAGATCTGCCAGCACCAAGGCCCAGCCCGGGAGCTGGCCTGGCGGGACAGCCCTTGGTCACATCCACGCCCCGGGCAGAGGCACTGGATGCCGTCGGTCAAGCACAAGCTCTTGCCCCTGGCTTTACACCAGTGACCAAGCACACAGGCACCTTCCTGCTCAACCAGGAAAGGGTGCAGGCGCAAGGCAGAACAGCCTCTGGGTGCAGCTGCACCTGTGCCCTCATCACCCCCTGCGCCCACTTACTCCAGAGAGCCTGGCTGACCGGCAGGGACATTGAGGCTCCTTTGCACATCGTGGGACCCCTTTGATGGAACGGGTATCATCCAGGGGTAACAGCCCGGGCTCAGTGACACCCCCAGCAGGGCAGAAGAGGCACTGGGAGAGGGTGAGGGGGGACGATGGGGTGGGGTGCAGAGTGAGAACTGTCCTCTGAACCCAGCCAAAGCGCGCCATCCTGCAGCGCCCGCCCCTCCCCACGCACTGCCGGGCCCCAGGCGGTGTGCCACCGCAGCGCAGCGATGGCATTGCGCCTTGTGGACCTGCGGGGCTTCCCGGTAAGCGTGGCTGTGGGTGCAGCATGCGGTTCCCAGGGGCCCTCCTCGCTCTTGGTTTCACCCAGCGCCCTGTAAAACCAGGAGCTTGGCCCGGGGTGGGGTGGGGTAGGGGGCAACCTCACGGCACTGCAGCCTGAGATCGCCCACCGCTCTGTAAAGAACCCTGATACACTCAGTCACGCTCCAAGCTGGCCTTGTACAAGTCGTTCTGAGACATCTGTTCTATGTGTCCGAGAAATTTATGCGACACCCCCCAGCGTCCCTTGACAGAGCGGAGAATAAGTGATGCAGTGGAATATCACTTAGCCCTAAAGAGGAAGTGAATGCTAACACGGACTCCAAAATGGGTGCGCCTTGCCTATCCTGCGCCAAGAGAGGCCAGTCAAGAAGGCAGGCGTCATATGTGCCACTTTTGTGAGACACAGAACTGTGAGCCCTCGAAAGAGAGACAGAAGGAGGATTGTGTTTGCCAGGCTGGGTGGGGGGTGACGCGCTGCGCTTTAGGGACAGGGTCTCCACTCCACAAGATGAAGAGGGCGGTGGTGCCGATCTGCGTAGCAGGTGGGTGCCGTACCGCTGAGCCCGCGCTCAAAGCGGCGAGTCCGGTGCGCGCCGTCAGGCAAAGCCGTGCTTCGGCAGGACGCGGGACGGCGGAGCCTCCTGTGCTGTGGAGCTGGGAAACGGGCACCGCCAAGCAAATACATCCTCCGGCGCGGCCCGGCCGCTGCGTGTCAACCGCCGCGCGCGCCCGCAGCTCGGCACGCAGACGGGCGCTCACGTCCGCGCTCGCAGAGGGGAAGGAGCCTTGCACACCTCAGCGAAGGGCGCCAGACGCAAGGGCCGACACTGAAACGTCCAACTCGCACAACCCGTAATAGGAAGCCCAGAGGTGGAAGGTGCGACCCAGCCCGACACGGTGACACACACCTGTAATCCCAGCACTCTGGGAGGCTGAGGCAGGAGGAGCACAAATTCAAGCCCAGACTGGGCAATTTATCCAGACCCTGGATTTTAAAATAGTTTTAAAGGGGCTGGGGATGTAGCTCATCCAGGGCTGGGACTCTGGGTTCAACCCCCAGTAACACGCACACACACGGGCACAGGAGGGGAAGTGTGGCTGACACCTGGGAAGACAGCCCCAGAAGTTTGTGTGGACGGACTTAACGTCCCTCAGCTGTTCATTTAAAAATGGGTAAAAAGGTAATGTTATGCTACGTATATTTTGCAGTGAGTTAAAAATGAAAACTACTCTAAAGGGGCGGACGGGACGCGGGCGCAGCTCCCCGGGGTGCGAGGCGCAGGAGCAGCTGCCGAAGCCACGGCCGGAGCGGACCCAGCGGTCACCACCTGTGAACGCCGAGGAAGCCAAGCGCACAGGCCCCGCCCCCACCGACCGCAGGCCCCGCCCCTC